TAAATATTCTGCTAGACAAGCGGCTGTCAGGGCCCTGAAGGCAATGGTAGTACACTTAAAACTGATCAGGGAGTGTCTGCTCTTCCTCTCAATTATGTCGGAATATTTCCTTATTAGGCTACTTTGGGTTGGGGGCCACAGCGACATTGCGGAAAAGTGCATGGTTGGCCCTGAAACGTTATCACCGCATATGGAGGAGGTGGGCCCCCTTTGTACCACAGTGGTGCACTCTTGGACAGATGGGCCTGCTGTCAGCTCAGCGAGCGCTGGGCGAAGACTAACTGCCATACCTAAATAAAAGCGTCAGCGTTGTCCGGCTGTCAAAAATTCTCATGCCCATACAATTTGTATGAAACATACCGAAACAACGCGTCGTCAACGCTGAGCGGTTGGAAAATCCGATTTTGACAGGGCGTTAGGTATTGTAGTTGGCTGCAGAAAACGGCGAAACTGTCATTTTCGTGTTACACACAAACAAACCTCTGCTTATTGTTGGTGTTATTTCTGCATTTGACGTAGCGTTGACGCTTTTGTTTAGGTATACCACTTCGGCGCTAACGGTAGGCGTCAGAAACCGCTCCGCCCAACGCCTTTGTTTAGGTATGGCAGTAAGTTATATGTAAACGCAAGACTGACCTTTGGTAGATCGAGGGCTGCTAAACCACAGTTCTCATTGTTTGTTGGGGTTTTGACAGATCAATATATAAATGGCATTCACGTTTCAAGGCAGCACGGTGCTGAGATTGAATCAGCTCAGCTCTTTCTAATGGGCTGTGCAGTAGGGTGGTCTTTGAAATGTCAACTTCTAAATTTTGTATGGGGCACCCCTTTTTTGCATGCAAGACATGCACGAAAATTTCAAAATTTTAAACAAATTTTTATTTTAATTTTTTTTTCTTAGATGTATTTATTCTGTATGCAGAACAAATCACAAAATACTGCACAGTCTTCACGAGGCCAAAGCGCTATTTACAGCTCTCAAAAAATAATCGCAAGAAATATTTTTCATTATTTCTGTTGCTTGAAAAAGTATTTTGCTTTACTATTACATAAATTTTATTGAAGAAATAAATATACATACAAGGACTTTTTTCTTGCGAGAATTTTTCGTTTTTCTTTAGTTCGCATTTCTTAACTAACGCTGAGGAGCTTTTTAACAATGGTCACCACTCAAAAAAGCTACGTGGCATCACTAAAGATAAATACCTAAGTTCCTAACTGCGTCCCTTTTCTGTGGTAATAATCACTGAAACCTAGCCCTAACCTATTTGATCTATTCGAATAGCTCTAAATTTTGTATCTGCTTTGCAATTACCTTTTCGCATATCCAATCCCCACATGCCATGCTCCACAGCCGTGTGATCAAAGTAATCATGATGTCCTGTCCAAAAGCCTACATGCGTCTTAAAGCCACGCTGTAGTGGCGTATAAACACTTTTGTAATGACCCAAATGCCACTTACCGGCGATATGAGATGAGTAACTGAAATTTTAAAACGAAACTTAGAAGAATTCATTAAAATTAAAAATTTTTATACATTTAGCGATATGCTATCTAATCAAAAAAAAAGGCAGTTATGTATAGCTATTACTTACCCCAATTCGTTCAGGTACTGTGGCAAAATTTTTTCAGTCAATGGCAGACCACGCGGTTCCGCGCCATATAAAACTGTATGTTGCATGCCTGATGGGAGAATGGAAATGTAAAGTTTAGTACTTGGTTCGGATGCTTTACTAGCACTAAGAGGAATCACTTGAAATATTTGGACTAATTTGAAAAATTATTTTTACTGCATCACATTTTTTCTCACCCGTGTGTATTGGATATTTTCCTGTCATTAGCGCCGATCTAGAGGGCGTACATATTGGATTTACATAGTAGTTATTTAATATGAGTCCGGAAAACGCTAAGGCATCAATGTTAGGTGTTGGAATCTGCGCTGAGCCATGGAAGCCGACATCATTAAAGCCCTACAGCGTTAATATGTAATCTATTATGAGTTTCGGCAGTAAATTTTTAAATCAAAATACTATTAAAATTTTTTATGTACATATGTACTTACTAAATCGTCTGCTAAAATGAAAATGATATGTGGACGTTTTTCTTGGTTATTACTGGCATTGTTTTGTGCTATCAAGATAAGTAAACAGAGCAGTAGTATAGTGGGGAGTGATTTCGTAGGACTCATTTTGTATTGGCGCTGAAAGAAAGAAATTTTGAAAATAGGAAAAATCTGTGAAAATTTTTATCGAGTTTTTCATATTTAAAGGGTGCGTACTCTTCTTGGTGCGGGTAGGTGCATTATCTTTAAATTTCAAAGTCCTTGAAAAAAACCTAACTTCGAAGATAAAAATTAACATAGATTTCTAGGTGTACTTCGCTCAAAATGTTAAGTTTAGGAAAAATTAGCAAAAATTAGCAAAAACTGTTATTACTCAAATAAAATCTAATTATTATTAAGCTTTTTTTTTATTATTATTAGTTCGCGTCATCACTTGTCAGCTTGCTAGTTCTACTCCACGGAACACAAAAATATTGTTTAGTATTTTTCTTTAAATACTACACAACAAACACATTAAATAACAATAAACAAACACACACACGATATGCAAATTAACTAATTCTTATTAGGCAGACCTTGACCTTTATTTTCTATATCTAATTTTGTTTATTTGTATTAACGCAACCTTGAACCAATTCTGACAAAATAACAGCTAATCATACACACGACTTTAAAAGCGCACTGAAAGCACAGGGTTGAAACTTTCAAATTGTTATTTGGTAATTTTCTTGGTTAATATATGTATGTATGTACTTTTATAAAAGTAACTGATATCAAGAATATATCGCTATAAAAATCTTGAATTTATGCCAAAAAAAAGTCCAATTCCGGCCAGTGTGCAACGTTGGATGAGCGCAGCCGCGATAACCTATCCTAACATAGCCCAACAACCTAAGCCATAACCAAGTGTTATGATAAAAGAAGTATAATATTTAGCTAAACAAAATTTTTTATTGTTGTCCAGTTTGAAATGTCTGTAACTGTACGCATCACATTTTTCTCAAGCAAATCAATTTATTTAGACATTCTCTTCTCCACGTGAATCAATCGGCCTTAAAAAAGCGGATGCGGCTATCAAAGCATTGACAATGACTCGTTTTGCAAATTGTTTATTGTTGTAAATAGATATTTCCGTATGAAATCGGCAAATCGATCTTCGATAAAAAAAAAATTGAGTTACATCTAAGTAATCACAATAGGATAATTACATTGGCAAAAA